CTTATTCATAAAACAGGCAAAATATGCATTTATATGCACCATCAAACCATGTCCAAAATTTAAGAAATGAAGTAATTCATACATATATCCAAACGAGCATACTTTCTGGTTGCAAGAAAGAAATATGCATTTGCATTAAAATCCGGTCCCTAAACCTATCGGACATACGAACTTATGAGGTGGGAACAACATTAGGGCCATTACGGAATATTATAACCATGATGACTAGTAGCAACCACGGTAACTTTAGTGCTGAATTTTAAAGTTATGAAATGTACGGACACACTCGGACGCGCACGCAGAATGGTAAGGTGAAAACAAGGCACGTGTAAACTGTACGCACTGCAGGAAGGATTGCAGCTTTACACTCTTAGTTATTATAATATGAATCTAAAATTAATTTAATGCATTGGCAACATCACGGAGGTAATTAAGATTCCATATTCTTCATTCATGACTGTTCGAGGCTTTAACACCAAATCATAAGCAGCAATAAAAGACAATTAATTTCTTAAAAGACAGTAGTAAATAAGTACATTTATATTAGTATTAATGCTAACTTAGTGGAGGGGGCACGCAATAGTGTAGTTGGTTGAGGTACTATGCCACACGCAGGAAGGTCGCGGGTTCGATTCAAGATGAAGTTATTAGATGTTTCTAATGGCCAAATCCTTCCAGTCACATTAGGGCCCCTGGGTTCGACTCAGCGTCTAACAGAAATGAGTAACAATAATCTTCCTGGTGGTAAAGGGCGGCCGGCTCGTAAGGCTGACAACCTCAAAGCCATTTCTGAGCCAATTGTCTACAAAATGCCTCACAACCCTATGGGCCTCCATGGCTTGTTACAGCGATAGCTTCGCCAGTTTTTTAATAACTCAGTGGAACCAAGTCCTTCTTTAGAAGTTACCAGCCACTGACATACTGAACAATTCCTCAAATTTTATGGAACCCGAAGGTTCATTACTGTGTTCACATAAACCCACCACTGTTCCTTATCCTGAGCCAGATGAATCTAGTCCATAGGACCCCATCTTATTTCTGGATGTTAGGTGGGTCCCTTGTCACCACGGCATGGCACGTCCTCAGTTTGCGGATG